CCTGTACAATTAAAAAATAGTTCTATGATTGAGGCCATGCTATAAACTACTGTATTGAACCATAAGTCGATATTCAACTCTAAAAAGAAATATAATTGAGCAAAATTTATAAAATGCAACATCAATAATGAATGAAGGCATATAGGTACCTGGGGTTAAAATCAATTGTTTCACATTTACATGTTTTTATATAAAGAAATATAAAGATGCCAAAACACTAAGTAGACCTGAAACATCATTCTGTCTCTATTACAGCCTATGATAGTTATTTGGACAGATGTCTGTGTTTCCTCTAGTTTCAGTTTTGCTCTTATTTAAAGCTTCCCCCGCGACATCTTCCATGACAAAAATAGTGAAACAGTAATTAAAAGACCAATGAAAGCCTAAATGACGAAAATTATCTGATACAATATATTGTAGTTTATACTGTTTATGATGGTATCCCGATTGGAATAAATTTTACCACTTTAAATTTCTGATGTTTTAGCATTCTTGAGCGAATTTCAAATCACATTTAATATTTTTTAAAAATAGTTAAAAGATAGCCGTTGATCTAGATATATAAGATGACAAATCGACTAGTTTCATTGTAGACTGGAATAATCTACATGATGTTTCCAGTGGAATGATTTGTTGAGGTAATAAATAATGGATACATTGTATTTTCACGAAACTGACTTACCTTGACCATTCATAATCCGTTTACCTTAATGTGATATTGACACCCAGACATTTGTTTCAATGGTTTGAAGGCTCTGATTCAAAGTTGGTAGTATGCACTGATTTTCAAAGTAAATTTTACAGCCATAATGAAGAGTAAAACATAAGGCCAGTTTTTGGAAATAAATCATAAATCTCACAAAGCAATGGTTACACCCTCTTAAGACATTAAAGTGAAATATAAATGAATCGATGTTATTAACAAAACAAGAGAAGGTTTCAGTCACATTTCCTGTTTTATGACGACAGTGCCAACACTTTGATATGTTATATACCTAGGAAATGCATATATTTTTGTCTGAAAATTCTATACTTGTAAGACATACTTTAATGTTGCACACTAAAAAAAGAGATGTAGAACCAGATTGGAAATAAAAAATCTATTCCCATTTCTCAAAATGGCGTCGTATTGTTTCTGCTTCACTGACCAAACGCTCATCAATTACAATTTCAAGATCTTATTTCGTTTCATGATTTTTTTACCTTGTCATATCAGGTATTGAATTTGAACGCAATTTATTGTAGCTAAAATGAAAAATTTAGAAAATAATGTGCGATAAAAGAAAGTTAAGCATCATTCTTTTAAATCGTCTTTCTTCGATTTGTCCTTTCTTCGGATCCTTGTAAAAGAAGCAAATGAATATTATTAGACTTGAGCTCATCGCATGCTGCCGATACAATTCTCATGAGGACAGAATTTGGAAATTAGTGTTAACATATCAAAATATAATAGGTAAAGAAAGCGAATAACTTAAGAACGCTAATGACGCTTCAAAACTAAAATATGTTCATGAAGCTCTCCAAAATGGACACTTAAAAAGCGCGTGGTCGATATGTTGTATCAGTCATTAAGATTACCCAATATGTGAGCTAATTGATTGTCATTAAGGGAGTAATCATCGAATGAGAAAACATGAAAATTAGTGAATCTCTCTGATTAGTTTCGTTAGTGATTTCTACAGATCTTAACATTTATTGACTGACTACATTGCTACGGGGAATATTGACTGAGCGGGTAATATTTACAGGTCGCTTGGGGTGAACCATCTCTTTGAATCGATTCTGGATTCTGGACAAAAACTTATATATCATACAATGTATAATTTCACCCAACATAATATAATATGCTATGATTATCTAGTAATTTAATTCAATTTATTTGAAATGATAAAATTAAATAAAGAAAACAGAACTTCTTTTCTGAGGAAGATCAGCCCTTAGAATCCTGAATTTATTTCCCTGTGATATTGTTAGTCAGTTTGTCTTGATTGTTGATAAATCAAATAAAGTTAGTTAAGCTAATATCTGTCCCGAGGGGTGGGGTTAATTTTATTATATTTACAGCTAAAGACTCTCGCTTACCACAATATGACCACGGGTATTTATTTATAGATGCTCAAAAGTGACCAACACAGCAAAGACATATATGACGTACGTAGTATATATTTCGAAGATCACAATTATGAAAGTTTGACCCTTAATCACCAGTTACAGCTTACTTACATTTATGGAAGAGATTATGTTTAATATTTAAGAGTTAAACGAAATTGTTTTATAAAAATCATTACAAAATCAAAACAAAACCAGTGACCAATGATTTCTACACAAGTTAATGAAGTTATCTTTTTAGCAATGAATGAATTTATAGCTTACAATATTTGATTGTTTGGTTCATTAAAGCATCGTTCTGAAAGCATTGTATTTTTAAGAGAAGGCGTCGAATTAAAGCCCATTTCAAGTCATCAGGTTTACTGTAGCAAGAAATAGCTACTGCCATTTTCTGTCTACTCTATCACCATCTTGTACATTGGTAGAAACATAACTTGGGGCTGTTCATTTCGTATCATTAATTCCAATTCTTTATCGAGAGAAGCTAGAGGAAATTTTCTGCCTGAAATGAAGCAAGTAACTGTTAGTTTAGTAATCAATGCAATGTCTCGTGGCCGCAGGGAGAAAGGGGATAATTTTGTTTGTTACTGGACCGAAAACACTTAACACTCAAAGATTCGGTCTTCTATTTCGTGATGATGAAAAGTGGAGGTTGTCATTTCATTCCAGTATGGACTGACATGAAGATATATTTATGTGAAAGCACTACAGATTATAGTCTTGTACCTAACCCGTCGCAGAGATGGATAATAACGAACAAAGTTTTATTACTGATGTAAAATATTTTTGATGTTGTATGAATCTATCTGATAGGTCCCAAATCAACTTAGTCACATTAACTGCCACACTGTCAAGTGAATGGACATTATCATGTTTTGTACTGACGTATAATTTATAATTCGTTATGTTGACATTGGCATTTTAAATACAAACTTGCTTTTCTAAAAGATTGTATACTGTGTTAACGAGGAAAAGGAATGTACAGGACGGCGCATGCAAAACACATAGTGTGGTCGTTTGTAGTGAAAAAAAAAACGCAATTCAACGAATTGAAAGTATCGAACAAAAGCTATACAACAGATAAAAAATAATTTTCAAATGATGCAGAATTATAGCACAGTTTGAACACTTTATCAATTTTAATAAATCAAACACCCGATGAATAAAATTATCCTTTTATCAAGAAATGTTTTTGTTAAATTATAGTTACAGCAAAAGACTATCTTTAATCTCCGTGGGTTTTTCGATGCACTAAACCAACCCGATACAGTTCAATAATAAAAAACGCAGTAGAAAAAAATGCTCTAAATACAATTCTTTTAATAAAAATCTCGCCCAGAGTATGGCAAAATCGAAAGTAAAAGTTGTATAGTAGTGAACACCTCCAAAAAGAAGTACCATCAGTAATTTCGAAAAGAGTAAGCATCGTCTGTTTCACACGCTTCACCCGCCACCTAATAAATAGGTCAACATCGTGAGATACGATCAAATCAATTTATGGCTGACCAAACAAATCAGCCAAGATGCAAGAAACAGATTTGTAATAATTATCCAGAGGTTCGCTATTACGACCATAATCTTTCCTAAATGAAGTTTGAAGTGTCAAGTAACTCTGTTTAAGCGAATTCAAAGTCAAAACTCGACACGGGTTAGAAAGTCTTCATAAATCCATCAAGGAAAATGATCGTAGTACAGTTTCCCTTTAAATTGTCATTGGATAGAACATGTATAATAGAGTTAAAATTCTATTTAAAACAGTTATCATACCCAGCACAAGATATGAATTCGTACCCGCCAAATTACCATGTTTTCCATATTGATTACTATTTAAACAAGCGTTGTTTTATTTTGACTAAATCAACACTAATTAAGCCATAACAAGACTTGAGAATCAATCATAATATTGGCTAATACATCATATCTCAACACTAGATCTATTGGAATTTATTTTATTACTTGAAATGGGAAATAATCAGCTGTCTATATAAGGATCTTCTTAATCGTTAATGCTGTCATAAAAGTTATATTCATGAAAACAAGAACAAAACGTATTTAAAATTATTGGGAAATTGTAGATGGATATGTCACTTATAGCCATATGTGTTCATTAACCCCCATGGTGCAGACATTTATGACGTAGAACCACATTTTCATCTCAAAATGTAGTTAATACACAAGGAACTCGAGATGGTCACGAACGTGTTGCCCAGTTTAATATTGACAACCTGTCTAGTTTGATCTAGTCATCAGGTACCTCTCGGTAATCTTTAAACGACAATTGTATATTGCAATTTAAGCTAATTATTTTCACATTTGTTACTTAGCTGCATAAGCCACAATGTACAACAGTAGGATGTAAACAGAGTAGCATTTATTTGTGCATTTTAATTAAACCAACAAGTAGTTTCTGACTAGGGGGGCATTATATGTATTGCCCCCCCACCCACCCCCCTCCTGAAAAATAGCCATTGAAGAAAAGAAAATTTAATTCATTCATACAATTGCCTTGGACCTCATATTCACTTAATTCATTCAATTGACCACTATAGTTCATAAATATATAAATAAGTATAATCGATAAGGCAATTGGCCGACGATGATCTCTGGCATTATCAGGGTATCGATATATTGCACATAGGATGTTTATTTCCTTTTAATTGTTGTTTCAATATTCAAAAAACAGTTCCCTTGACCTACAACTGACCCAAAACTATATCTGCGATGGTTGGTTTGTAATGTTTTAATTAATTAATTAATTAATGTATATTTTAAAAAGCCAATTTTGGGCCAAAATAGTGTTCCATTGGTATCCTCTTGGATTGTTTCCAGGAAATTTACATTTATGTGCTTTATATCGCGTTCTTTAGTGTATCGTATTGTGATTTCAGGCCACCTTACCCAAGCTACCTGTACCAAAACTACAAAGCTCCTTAGACAAATATTTGTCTTTACTGAAAACAGTTCTGAATCCTCAACAATACAGCAAAACAAAGTTTCTAGTTGACGAATTCTGTAAAAATGGTGGACTTGGAGAGAAATTACAACAATATGTTTTGAAACAACACGACAGAAAAGATAACTGGGTATGAATTTTCATTTAAAAAGCCATGAGCCATGTAACAGCAGCCTCTTATTTTCTTAGCTTTTTTTTTAATAATTTGGCATTTCTAAATAGCTATAAAGTGATCAATTTTAGTTTGTCTCCAGGGAACTATTAAAATTAACTTTTATAGATTGTTCTATAAAAGATATGATAACCCCAGGTCACTTTATAAATATATATTATTTTTTATAGTATAATATTATATTGAATCTATTACATGACTTATTCATATTATTATTCATCCACACAATAACACGATTATTCACGATAACATGTGTTTAACTATTAATTCATAGAGCTATGAATGGTGGATGGAGGATATGTATTTATTTAATAAAGTGGGTTTACCAATAAATTCCAATCCCGGTGGCCTTTTCCCACAACAAGTGTTCAAAAACCAGACAGATCATTTAGGGTAAGGATAGATTAATGTTTATAATGGTTATAAAAAGGTTATTTCAAAATTATTCACAACAATATGTCCATAAACACCCTATCTTATAGTACAATCTATAATCTCAAACTTTTGATGTTGGTGGCGGATTTTGGCAAATAATGTGCATTTTATTAATGTTTTCTATTTTTAACATTTCAACAGATATTCTGCAAGGTTGCTGTGTGGTTTCTTACATTATAAATCAATCATAGACAAGTACGTACAATTCACTTTATATTCATGCATGGAAATGTGTTGATTTTTAATTCAATATTAAGGGCATTGTCCTACTATTACCAAATATTGTCAATAAAAGACTTGTGTTCAACTATTTTGTAACAAATATGAAAGTTGTAAATTCGTACCAAGAGATAATAAAAGGGGGTTTAAATTGCCTATTCTCTAACAGATCCAGTTCTCACTTCGCATCTCTATTTTGATATAAAAAAAACGTTTTAAACTAAGGTAGAATTGGTAAAAATCCAAATAAGGAATCTTTTCACTTTTGGAAAACTACTAACTTCTAAAAAAGCGTAGCATAAGACCTCGCGTTCCCTGTAAAATGGGATAACCATACCTATAGATGTTGGCATTAACTGATTAACTGGCTTCATTTATAATAAAGACGAAATATTGACCTTTAACAACAATGTAAATACCAACTGGCCTAATAAGCATTTTACATTCAGATTTTTTTCAGTAAGATACTCCATGCGATCTATTAATATTGAAAAATTGTCTTTGATTTCTCTTCAGTGGCCTATTAAAACCGGAGAGAGCTAGTCACAGTGAAAAGGGTCAACTATTATGTATGGACCAATGGTACAGATTTTTAAACTGTTACAGACGACCCAGTGTAGAGAAGGACGAATCGTTAACAGATATATGCCCTCCATCTGAAGGAAATAACATCATCGTTTTATACCGTAATGCTGTATGTGTCAAATCCACACTATAAACTATCTGAGCTTTCTGCCAATCTGACTTGTCAGTTTGAAAAAACAATAACTTGATGTTTTCTTGCCGGGTCACAATACTTTTACTTTTCGACTTCAGTTTATCAACAATGAAATACTAAAAGTCAAACCTAATGTTAAAAATGAAATACAATCAGTTTAACAATTACTTCACCTGAACTTACTGTTCAATGTAGCACAGTTTAATGAGTTTCATATATTTAGCTTAGATATATTTATATGATATTAGCTCAAACTGGGGCGAAACATTGGGCATTATTTTGTTTAACTAATTTACTTTCAATATGACCTTTTCTTTTAGTTTTTCAAGTTACACTGTGGCGACTTTGGAACAGTGCCGCGAATCTCAAACGTAGTGGATAGACTAGTGGATATAGTTAATATTATGGACAACAGATCAGAGGAGGCGCCGCCAGTTGGTGTATTAACCACGACAGAAAGGTCACAATGGGCTACTGCAAGATCCAGGTTATTAGAAGGTATTTATCCAGTTATTTGTCCAGAATTATATCAGCTGTAGTATTTATGAAAGTAAGGGTGCTTTCTCGTTACCAAAACTATATTAAACCTGATTCTTGTTTTTTGTTAAGATCCAGTAAACAAAGCAAATATAAAACATCTAGAATCGGCTTGTTTTGTGTTGTGTTTGGATAAGCGAACAGTTCCGTCCCATGATGAAGACGACGAACTTCATGTCATCACCTGTTTAGAACATTTACTACATGGTCAAGGGAGTCATGTCAACACTGGAAACCGATGGTTCGACTCCTGCTTTCAGGTGAATTATTTGCTTATTAAAAGCGATCGACATGTTTTAAATATATAGCAAAAACAATCTATTATCAGCCATATGAATTCATTCTTTGAGAGTTATACCGAGTTAACAGAGAGTGGTTTAAGGGCGAACGTGTCCCGTCTAATACACGGAGCTTATAATATCAGGAATCATCTTTAGAAATGATTGCCGGGGTGGATCAAGGCAAACGTCAAATATGCAATGTGATTTTTTTTTTTCAAATTGATGATTAGATTTACGACTTCAAAACTTTCAATGTCATTGAAATATTCTTAAATTAAATGATATTTGTACAGTTAAACGTGCAATAACATCGTTGTAAATCACGATTAGTGGCCTCCCACTCGTCTGTAGAGACAACAACAACATCACAGGAACCGTCTTAATATCGCGTTATAAATTGTACTCAATATCTCTATGCTATGCCTTTATATCTATTCAGTTAATTGTAACAGAGAATGGTGTCAGTGGTTTTAACTATGAACATTCTGTATGTGAAGGAATGCCAGTTATAGATTTCTGTGAACATGCTTTAATTTATGAGTAAGTGTGAATCCTTATGACAACCCTATTAGTATTTGTTAACTCTCTTGATGACGAATTCGAACAATTGCCTCAGGTCCCAGTCTTCACCAGAAAGTTTGTCAAATGAGCTATATGGGACTTATCAGGTTCCAATAATGTACTGTGTAATATTTCGACAGGGTTGTCCCAACTCGGCCAATTCCAGTTATTGTCAATTCTTAATCAGGTTGGTATATGACCGCTGCCTAGTATGGACTGACTGGCAAGTTGTCTGGAGAGGTCATCCCTAGTTCACATAATCACGTCAAACGCAATAGAAATGTGCTGGTATGGGGCAATGAAAGGTACCTACCGCCGGTCAATTATGGTCTTTAGTAGATTCGCCTATTTTCAAAAGCAAGGCCTTAAAATGGCTGTTCAATGGAAAGTTATTCTGAAGTATATTGAAGCAATAGGCAATTTTGCTAGCTGTCGGTAACAATCTAGATTGACAGCAAAATAGAAGCTTTTGTCTTAAATATTCTAAATTGCCAAGTTTGTCTGAAAAATGCCCCGAATGAACTTCTTGAGACAATAGTCTCTCTAACCAGTTTTATATCTCAATTTACAATTGTTTCAATATTCTAAAAATTAAAGTTCGTGTAACTCATTAAAAGAAAACTTGGTTGTTATGGAAACAATCAAATATTTCAATTATAGCGTCTTTTTAACCATCAAATTATCGAACGATGGTCATTAGACGAAAAGAAATTCAAGAGAATTTATCGACGAGAGAAAATTCGATATGCAAAAGATACTTGATCAATTCACGTCTGTCTTTACCAATTTACCGCCATTTTTATTTACAGAGAAAGTTTAGATAACGTGACGTCACGAGAAAACGTGAAATTAGGTAAACCAATTGAATTGAGGTGGAATGTGTCTACAGAAACTCTTGATGATATCCAAGTAGCCTCGCAACAAATTGATGGGTAAATATTCATCACATCTTCTATCAATTTCCGCTCACTTCATTGTACCTCGGTATTTATAAACCGCCATCTTGGATCTGTATAGACGTCTTCTTCTTATAATAAGACGATCTTTGATCAATTGAACCAATTGAAATCCTGGAAATATAACAGAAACTGGAATTGTGGCTCTTAGTACCAACATAACACACAAAACGTCACTATTCAAACGATTGGTCATTTCGCCATATATCAAGATTAATTCAGTAGAAATGAGAAAGAGCGCATTCAATTGGTGAAAAGATTCATAACACATGTTTCATTCCCAGCCTGAAAATTACTATCTGGAATTGGAGTCATGGACTTTGTTAGGAAAGTAACTCAGAAATGCATGCCGATTGATATACATGTACAGTCGAGCAAAGATATTTATGCACATCTGGGTCTGATCCATGACATAAGCACTAGTAGTCTATTTTGATTTGACGTAGAATTAGCTTATTAAAACTGATAAACCAACTATAATTCAGTCGGTTTTTTGTTTTTTTTTTTATTTGCAACCAAATGAATTCACCTGTATGTATTTATTAAGCTGGCTGAATATTATATAACAGAAATAACATTTCCCGTATCATTCAGATACCACCCGAAACCTCTCGAGTTATTTTTCAATATGAAATGTTTGTGTTTTATTTGAGTGTATTCGAGTATCTGTAATGTGCAGTAGCGAAGATGATAAAGATTAACAATATTGAGTTGAACAATAAACGCGAATCTTGTGTACTTGTTTTAATTAGATTGTACGTGGTTTTTACTCTAAACACGTTATTAACACGGTAATTCTACCAGACTTTCTTTAACAAGATATTTAAATCTAATCGACCTGGGTCTGTTCGCTTGTGCTTCTTTCACGAGCAGAGTTCTTGTTACCTGTCGTAGACGCTTGTGACAACGTAGTCAAAAACTTATTTCGAAATTTTAATTAATAATTTTTGGAACTATATAGCGGTTTAAGCCATTCTTTTGAATATAGAAATTAACCATGATACTTAAGTTCAATAATTTGGAAACTGGATGCCCTTAGGTTTTCACTGATAAATTAAAGATCTATTGCACCAAAAGCAAAATCACACGGAAACCTTAAGATAAAACGTATGTAAATATTCAAGATATCCTTGCCTGGAGAGATACTATGTAAATGGATAACCTACCTCTCAAACTGGAATTTAAAGATAGTTCAAGCATTCAAGAACCTATATTTTTCTCTACATTTAGCGTTTATTCATTAAACGCAATAGTATAGGGTATAAGAACACATATCATGATATAAACCAACATTGTACACTTCCATTAACCTAAAATATTAAGACAATAGAACTATTAAAATAGATAGACCATTTACTTCAACATTTTAAATAGGAATATTAAATTAATATAGAACATTTTAAAAGAACATTTTATAGATTTAAAATATAATTATTTCTTTCAAACACAATGTTGAAATGATTAGCAGGTTAAAAGTAAAGTCGACTTTTAATACTCCTAAAAAAATATTTCTGAAAAAAATATGTATATATATATATAAATGATATAATTTATCGGGGTTCGTCTGTTGCCGTATCATATTTGACTCACAGTAACCTAAAGTCTAGATTATGTGCAAAGAAAGCAATTTGTATGTTGATATTAACTTGATGTAAAAACTGGCCATTCAGGAAATTGGGTAAAGAAAGTGAATTTACTCCTTTCTGATTAAATTTACTAGCCTCATCAGCCGAGAAATGACTTCAGATTGAAAACATTCGGTTTAGGGTTCATACGTGGCTGTCTCACATCTAATGACACGCAATGATTAATATGAAAATCTTGTGGGATCAACATTATTTGGCTGGTAATATATACTTTTAGTTTTTATCTATAAAAATATCATGTACAAGTCTCAGCCTTTCAAGGCTTTCTTACTCTGTAATCTTTGTTGAATAATAGTCTAATATAATAGTATAGTTCGAGATATTAAGTTAAGACCATTCCAGCAATTTGCATAGTAGATATATATATCAGATAATACAACTTTGCAAAAACTGGTAAACAGGCATGATTCTTACATAGTATTCAAATATTCTGGTATTGTACATAAATGAATATTGGAAAAGTAAACCAAATGACTAAAGTATAAAATATAATGAATATATAAACATTATTCAAAAAGCTTTAACATAAATATATCATTTGATTAGCTTATAATTATATATAAACATATGATTAATATTCTCAAATTGTTTTAGATTTTGGAATTTTACATGAAAAATTACAACTATAACAATATGCACATATTTTGAAAATCGTAACTTTCTGGTATTATCAAGATGTTGAAATCCGTAGAAGAGATATTGTTCCTCATTACCCTATGTCTAATGATGCCCGTTGCATTAGCTTGGGTACAGTTGGAATAAAGCGCTCTGTGATTTTTGTTCATATCTGAACGAGAAACGCTCCACTTTAAGTACAGTTTTCACTTTGTCTTGTTTAATGACCATTTCTATGACAGTTCCAGAATGATTTAAAAAAGAAATTCCATATCTCGATGTTTTTCATCAACCTAAAGTAGAAAGGACTCGTGCCATCATTGCTTGCCTTTTAATTCACATTCATTAAAAAGTGTGAATCGAGAAAACTTTTGAAGAGCTCTCGGGGTTAAAAGTGAAAATTCTAATGAATTGGTAGAAATCAATAAAACACAAGGAGCAACTTGAGACTGACAAACATCAAACAAGCAAACATTCATGTACAAATTTCATAGCCTAATATTGACCTGTCCAATAAAACTACTCGATCTCAAAGTTCAATATTTATCCTTCCAATTGAAACCACTCGATCATCAGGCCTGATTTAATTAAATAACTTCAGCAATAGGCGGTTTTTCACTTCCGTCAAGGCCAGTTCGGATATCAAAATATAATACGGTTTACTGTGATTTATTATCTTGTATTTAAGCAGGGAATGAATTTGCCTAGCATGTGACATTCTCCACGGCACATGTAATAGAGGAATGTTTTGACTTGCACTCAAGAATTCAACCCTCACAGAGAGAACAATCTTGGAATTAGCGTATATGTTGTGTCATGGATATACCAATTCATTAATTTAAGCTCTGTAGACTCGACGAAACGAATATTTTCTTTTCTTCCTTATCTTTTTTTATCTTTTTGAGAAAAATGTTTCTTTTTTGACTATTTGAATTTTTCTTTTTCGAAGACGAATCGGTATTTATTTAACAGATCATGGCTTGTGCGGAACTTGTGACTATCATATGTATACTAAATTCAAGTAATAGATACTTTTCTTCATAAAAGAACTTTGGTTTCTTTACGCTTCATTTTGCGATTTGAGTTTGATTTTTTCTGGCGAGAACAAGTTAAGATAGTGGAAAGTTTAGCGAGAAGTTAATTTAGCGAGTTGAAGGAATTAAGAGGAAAGGAAATGAAGCTAATCTTATCATGGGTCTCAGGAGATTTCTACAACGACTTGGGACTGAGCGAGAAGTAATTGTTCCTTCGAGTCTTTTACTGCCAAACCTCTTCAAAGATAATTCTACCACGATTTATTCACGTTAAAGATCGGCATTGACAATGAATCACAGCAAGTGCTGTATTAAAGCTATCATCTAAATACAAGATTGGGATGAGGAGATTATGCATTCCTGAAAACATATTACTTCATCTTTTATCGTAACATGATAGCTTTAATGTGTATTAAGAAGTAAAAGAGGTAACTGTCTGTATTCTGAAATCATGCATACATATTTGCTTTGGGGAAAATTCAAGAATCATATTTTCTACATTTGATCTGTAGATATATTGGTCCATCAATCAACACTACTAACCAAGAAGGTTAATAATAAATACAATATCTGTCACTAACTTGTCAAGAAAACCTTGTAAGATTATCTTGAAAATTTTCAACTTCAAAAGTAATTCTTTACTTCAGAGCTATTCTCAAGGTTTCTACGACCTTCAGGCGGAACTATTTCAACTAGCCCATGAAAGAATTATTTCATCGTGGGTATTGATTTTAATAAAGACTTGGTAGGAAGGTTGTAATTTAACGTCTTATTGTATTACTCCGAGGTTATGAATCGTAATGAAGTAATGCCAAACTCATAACCTTTACAGTTAGCTAAATGCTGGTCGACTCGAGTGAAGTGAAAGTGCCTCTTCGCTACTGTAAAAATATGAGCTTGCATGGTGCATAAACATTAATCGAAGTAGTTTGTTTCGTATTTGGAATGTATTTCGTATATGACAAAAGTTGAATCAATCTGTATTGTAATCAGATTGTCAGACAACAACCTTGACAGCATTTATAACCACACCGTATGATATTTATTTTCGGTTGTGTTGATAAACTGTGAACTTTGACCCTAGACTGGGATTAGAAATTAGAAAACTGTCTATTGAGTAGGTTCCTAGATCTTACTCCAATTTATCATTCAATAAATAGGCTTGGAGACATTCAAACGTTTTCTTCCCACCTACACACAGTGATTATTTAACGAAACAGAGAAATGGTCTTTTCTGATTGGATTGGTGCCAAACCCAGTACTGACAGAAACAGTTCAACTTCCACCTCAGAAACCACTTAGCTACACGTATTTACTGCACTAAAAGACAAATAAACCTTATCAGATACATTGTAAAAGTTATTTTCGAAAAAGCGAATTTGATACGATTTCAAAAAGCAATGACAATGTTTGTGGTGTATTAAACAAATTACAGATGTGGTCGTGAGGTGAAAACGTTGGTTCGCTGAAACTGCCCTGTTTGTACTTTTGAAAGTTATCTTACGCAATTACTACTTTTAACTTTGCTCTATACTAATATACAAAATTTTCTACCGCACGTTTCTACAATGCAACGATATCGGTGCTTTCCACGACTCATATATTATTTTTTCTCTGAATAACGTAGTATTGATGTAGCAATGTGACAACTGTTATGCCTTTTACCCTTATTTTCAATCAATCAAACCATCATTTCCTTATTTCATATATTCAAACTGGCCTTACAGACTGGAGTCAAAGCAGTCAAAACTGAGTTCCAATGCCATAATATGTATACATATATCTATCAATACCCAACCTTAAATTCCTACCAATTCCAAGGTAGAGCAATCATTTGAGATATGCATCAGATAAATACCTTGTTAATTGTACATTAAGGTCAAATTATTTTTAAATAAAACGAACTTTAGTTTATTTAAGGATACGACCTATCGTGATGTGGCGTCGAAGTATTCAAATATCATGCCGTGTAGTTTTAATGAAATATACCACCTTGAACAATAAAAGAAGAGATTTTTGACACGAAATCAAAATAACACTGATTGATCGATTTTCAGGAATTTTCTGTAAAGGGACATAGTCTTCTCTTCTGTTGCATGAACATCCAGAAGTTTGAAATTGAAGATCTTCCTCAATGTTCGTTTTATATTTAATAGTAATTTTTCTTTCTCAATGAAATGACGTGTACTGCACCTATATCAATTCAAGTCAGATGCATATTGTTAACGGTAATATTTAAAGGATATCAACTTCTGAAATTAATATTAAGAGGACTACATAGAGATATATAGATAGTTTGAAAATAAGTGTCCTGGAAATTCTCAATGTATGAAATTTATGGTCGAATCTTCAGTTACAGTACAACAGGTACAATATCGACCATGGTAAAAAGATAAGATAATTGTTGATTTATTATCGAAACCAGTTAAACCATCGCGTGGTGATATAACATAAAAATTACAAAACAAAAATCCCACGGTTTTACAGTCTTTGATATAGAATAAAGTATAGCTGTATAACACGTGATATGATCATAAAAGGACATTTAGGGAAAGATTTGTTGATCTCGGTTTAATTTACTGTAGAAATGTTTATTACCACTGAGTGTTAATGCTGGAAAAAACATTCCCCAGTGGTTCTGATTGAAATTTCCTGATTTTAAGGATTCTCACCCTGAATTCTATTGCCTTGTAGTTAAAGATATTGGCTGAGGATAAAGAATAACATATTGAAACCAAATAATGCAAATGATAATAAGAAACGATTTCTGACTAAATTGGTCTGGCCTTTCACTTTTTCTGAAATGCAAAAACCGAGTTTCTTACAATTCGTAATGACACGTAATGTACATTTTCAGTCAAGAATTTGCATTAATGTGTGATGTTACAATTATTATTTTGTTACACATTCTGATTCAGATTTATAAAATGCAGACAACATTTCTAATAATTATGAACAAACAGTTTGGTAAATTACACTCCAAAAAATAAATCCGCATTTATCTGGTGTGATTTGGGATGTGGGTTTCTTCTGATTTTCAGAGTCCACGCTTTGTATTCTTCAGTAGTGGTCTTAACGATATGGTCTAATGGTCTAGGAAGTGTTTACTGGCTGAAATTACATGGTTTGGAACAGCCATTCTATCAATCTCAACCTAATACTGTATGCAAAAACAAGAAATAACATATCATGTAAATTGTTTATCAAGAATTTCCAATGTAATGTCTTTCTATATTTTAATTCTTACTCTGATCAAGGTAGAAAATGTACAGTCGACCTGCAACCATGCTCTTGAATTTGGACAATAGACCGAACAAAGCAAAATTGCTTTCGGTCTCTATCGGGTAAATTTTATATGTAAATAATGACGTATGTTGGTAAACGTTGTGCATTTCAGGTTGATATCAGACCTTCATCTGTCAGTTTTAGATATCGATACATTTGGGCGAGAATTTCCCAAATCTTATGGAATGAGTCCAGATTCATTTATACAACTTGCTTTACAGTTAACATATTACAAGTAAGTTATCAGAACCTCATGTTTCCTTTTCCTTACGATGATTATTCACATCTAACCATTGCTTGAACAACAATAACCTCCCTTGACAGCTATACGTCACCATTCGATATATCCAAACGGGAATATGTGGAGTAAAAGGACGGTGATCGAAATTGGCTCCCTACATTGAATCATCGGAAACTATTGCCCCATCCCATTTGTCGATCAGTGATCGAAGTGAAACATGACAGAAAGGTACTTACACGTGTCTTTATAATTTATCAAAAATTTCACAAAATTCTAACACTTCCTTCCATTATAAATTTATTTGAGATTTAAAAGAAAGGTTCTTCAAGTTTTGCATCTGGTTATTCAAACATTTTGTTTGAAGGAATAATTGGTAGAGAAGTAAACTCTCTACCAATCAAAATTAATGCAGAGAATATAGGATTGTGAGAGCAACGGCTAGATGATCATTATTATTAAAGGAACTTATCAGAACCTAAAAAACAAGGTTGTGTTTACTCTATACAATCCTATAAAAAATCTAGTGACAAATGTTGTATGGACCCAGAACAGATTTTCAATAAATAAGCCACTTTTGAATTGGTATTTTCTTCACCAGTCCTGCGCATTTGCGAATTTCATTTCTATTCGTGGAGTATGTGCGGTTGGTTTACATTACCTTTCATCCCTTGTACTATCAAGGAAACTGCAATTAACTTATTTAATCGGACAGTCGATGACCTATAAGGACAGACACGAATCTAGAAATCCGTTCAGAAACCGATGTTATTCGTCTTTGGATTATACAAGCAGCTGATTCCTCAGAAGCCGTTCACACGAATCTAAGCTTCTTATCTGTATGGATTGTCGTAGATCCCATTAATCAGGCAATCAATGGTGAAATGAGATCGTTTTATCAGAAACTAACAATACAATTAATTTCTCCAGGTTTCTAATTGATTCATTTACCTAAATCTGTAAAGATAATTCTCTGAAGTCTTGATGCCAACTTATTTCCGGTTTATCGATCACGTGATAATTGTAGCGGAAGTTGTATAAAGATTGGTTATTTTTGTCGAGAAGATTTGTAATTATGATTAAATAGAGCTGGTGATTTGAAATTATGTGGTATTTCTATTTTACACATGATAGAAGATTGATAATAAGCTATTATGGTTTAACATGCATAATATCAACATTGAAACTGATCCGCGGCGGGAACCAAAGAAAGGGTCAAACTGAGGAAATTACATATTGATTCTCGTTCCCCGTGAAAGGGATATTTCAAATATGAATAATCAAAATGAAATATTAAACTAGGTTAAAGAATTGTGCAGTTGTGTATAATTTACAATTAAACGTGCTTAACACGAAATAGCTAGAATTTTAGTCACTTTTTATGAATTTATAAGTGAGGCGTTTTCCATTATTGTTACTTTGTTAAGGCCTGCGATTTCAAACTGTGAGTATTTTCCTGGAATATTAACTTTAAGACAAACTTTCTTTTTTATATTCACTTTTCCTTTCAGAATACATGGAACATTATCTTCTACGTATGAAAGTGCATCGGTGCGTCGTTTTCGGTACGGCCGTGTAGATAATATTAGAGCTAACTCACAATCTGCTTTACAATTTGTTAGGGCTATGGTGGGTGAATGGGATACCACAGTAAGTAACATTATTTGTGAAATCTTGAGGATTGTAATACCATTTAAAAAAAGCATGCACACATAACAAAACCTTTTAACTGTTTATATGGCCATTTTCTTTTCCTGATTTACAATGTAAATGTTTTGGCTATTTATCAGAATTATATTTACGAGTACATCATGATCATTGTTGTTTTGTATGTTGTTGGATTCTGTGGGTCGACTTAGACTAATGCATTGGAGTTATCACCTTCATTCCTCGTTTCAGGATGAAGATAGGTACGCCTTAATGAAAGATGCAATTCTTTCCCAATCTAATTATATGAAGGATGCAATACAAGGTTATGGTATTGACCTCCATATACTGGGACTACGAGAATCAGCGAAAGAATTAGATATTCCTGTGCCATCTTTATTTACTGATGATGGTTACAAGACATTTAATTATTTTAAGCTGTCCACAAGTCAGGTAAGAAACATACGCTCACCTTATACTAACACTTGATTGTCGTCTTCACGCAGAAAATGGTGTAACTCTCAACATTTCATAACAATATTTCCAATTGTAGCTACACTACACACCACGCCAAACTTCATCTATTCCACCCTAAGCCTTTTTTTTTCTTGCAGGTAGCAACAAGGAATATGATAGGTGTTTGCTATGGTGCTGTTGTTCCAGATGGGTATGGTGTGTGTTACAACCCAAAACCAAATTCATTTTATGCAGTAGTGACTTCATTCAGACGTTGTCCTGACACAGATTCTGCCATGTTTGCGAACAGCATGGAGGCAAGTTTGCTGCAGATGCAAGGCTTGTGTGAACGCTGTAGAACTCTTATAGACACTTCAAGCTGATATGTTAATGACCAAGTGTTGTGAAAAGTGAAGTATTCGTTTAAAGCATTTACCAAAGAACTGTCGAATAGTAATGCCCGTTCATAAGTCTTTAATAATTGGGTAATGCATATTTGTTGACTATGTCTTTTAGACCCTAAATTGTTAGTTTGTCCGGTGGCGTATTTTAGAGTCAGCTTGCTTCCTGTATGTAGTGAAAGGATAGAGCTTCCGTAGTTTACAGAATTGTATCTTAAACATATCACTATTATATTATATTATATTATATTATATTATATTATATTATATTATATTATATTATATTATATTATATTATATTATATGTTATGTTATGTTATGTTATGTTATGTTATGTTATGTTATGTTAAATCATGTCATGTCGTTATATATTATATTATATTATATTGTTATGTTATGTTAAATCATGTCATGTCATGTCATGTCATGTCATGTCATGTCATGTCATGTCATGTCATGTTATGTTATGTTATATTATGTTATGTTATGTTATATTAAATCATGTCATGTCGTTATATATTATATTATATTGTTATGTTATGTTATGTTAAATCATGTCATGTCATGTCATGTCATGTCATGTCATGTTATATTATATTATATTATAATTATGATTATATTATATTATATTATATTATATTATATTATATTATATTATATTATATTATATTATATTATATTATAATTAATTATATTATATTATATTATATTATATTATATTATATTATAATTAATTATATTATATTTATAATTATAATTATAATTACATTACATTATATTATATTATATTGTTTGCAATAAAATATATAACTTTGCATATAGTTACTGATAGATATTGAAAGATATACTCTTTTATCTTTATATATTTTTATTTATAGTACAGGTCTAAATATGTAAAGGAAATTGTGCAATAAAATCAATATAGGCAAATATTAAATATTTACGAGTATACAAAAAGTAGCTTTAATTTGTTCTAGCTGTTGTTATAACGTACATGGCTGTGATAGTATTGTTCAAAGTTAGGTTTTTAAACGTTATGTACCTCACTTTTGTTTAAAGCAATTGTTATTCTTGTATTGTAAAAAGTGCAACAGTATGGTTCAAATGTGATACAGATTTTTTGGATTCATCCCAATTAGAAAAGTATATGTATAGTTAAGTATAATATTATAAATCAAACCTTTTAATACTATGTTATTGTTATTCAGACGCATATATTAAAAAACATGTATACTAAGATTGATTTTGTATTTCACTCCAGCGTTTGAACATTTATATTATGTCCAGTGATATTATGTACATTTATACTATGTCCAGTGATATTATGTACATTTATATTATGTCCAGTGTCCAGTGATATTATGTACATTTATATTATGTCCAGTGATATGTGCATTTATATTATGTCCAGTGATACTATATCATAATGATATTTTGTTCAATATGTTAGAGCATATTTGAAAAAGTATTTAGAATTCAGAATCTAAAATGGGTTGAAAAGGGGTTTTCTGGTGTCAGAAGCAGTAGCTTTTATAGCGATGACGCAAGAAGGAAAATGCAGATAGGCAAATTTTATGAAATGACAAAAATGGTAATTTACAAACCTTTCAGAAAAGAAAAAATGTCAAAAACGGGAAAACTGCTATCTTAAAAATTAATCCATAAATCGATAACGGCATAGTATTTTTGGATATTTCTCTTTCTGCTCTGCATCTGAAACTGCAACAACTCTAACGTTTGCATATTGGTGGAAATGGGAATCTCTAGTGTTCATTGAGACAGGCCAATTATCATATAAGACTGCATGACCCTCTCCTCAAAGATTGCCTAAAGGCTAACTAGGTTATCAATACCTCTAATGGAATCACCGAATGGAATCACAAACCTCTTTATTCATACATTAGGAGAACTCTTCGCCCAGGGCGACATGAGATAATTTTATGGCTTGGTGCTATATGATTTATAGGAAATCAGTAAGGTTATATACTACTACTACAACATCGGTGTATATTTCTGGCTTTGTGGTGGACTCTTGCCATGTGTATGTTTACAAATTACAGTGTATTGTTTGAAATAAAGTAATGGCCTTCAAGACAATGAATTAGATTACTGGTAATGTGGGTTACACTATAGAGAAACACAAAAAAAAAGAAAACAATGTTTTATCATTATCGGCTTATGACCGAAAACGCCAATTTTGCTCGCATTTATAGAATACATCAGTTCCACCGGCTCCTTGATACCTTTATAAGGTATCCACTAAAGAAGAAGGGCTTATTAGTGTTTATATTATCTCCATCTCAACGATATATTCATATTCTGAATGATATCTCCTATCGACTTCAACATAGTTCACAGTCATCCATTACAGTTCTTTATATCCGTATAGACGATGTTCCATTTGGTTTGCAAATGTGGCACTAGCTGTTAAAGTGGACGGATATCTATTAAATGAGGAGTAAGTGATAGAGATTTGTTGCCTATTAACTCGTGATAAGTTTAATGTGGAGTGATTTACCCAGATTATGGGCAAGTGTTGAGATTAATATTATTACCGTTTCAGACTTGACATTTTAATTCAATCAATAGACATGATTTAACACTACTTTGAAAACTTTTACTTAAGTTTTCTTATCAATGTGGATAAAGGGGTCTAAAGAACTCTTAAAATTGACTTTTTCGAATGTTAAACAAATTTTGGGGAATAGCAATCTCAGATCATTATCATACTTTACACTTTAAATACCTTTTTTCAAAATAAAAAGAAAACTGGTTGTTGGAACAGTTTGATAATCAGTCGACGAAATGATGGTTGTTTTGTATTGAAACTTTACAATTATAGGATAAAGCTCTCAGTAGACAATTTTTATTATTTTATTGGTTATCTTTTATTTCATAAAACAGATTGGTTCTTTCGAAATATCCCACTTTTATTTCTAAAATTCACGCTTCATCGAGATTATCTTTAATGAAGAAGTCAAAATGAACGGTCGATTGCGGGTGCGGCCTGGTCTTGGAATTTGATAAGGAGATTTATTAGTTTCGAGTGAAATGAATTAAATAACGGATAGGAGATGGATTATGGACGTCCCTTTCAGGGAATTAATCAATTAGTTTTTCTGGCTTTTCCCCTTCTGTAAAGGAAATAGCATCAATCACAGTTTTGTTTATAGATCTCTTCTATCAATCTTAAAGTTTATCGTCGACTTCTGTTCAGTCTATCATTTTAATTGCTAGACTCAACTTTTCTCCGCAGTTAAGAACGTCTGTCCATAAATTTCAATAAGTAAAAAAAACTTGAAACACATTTCAGAAAGCAAACTGAAACAAACATCAATGAAAAAGAAAAAAACAGTTTTTAAAACAAACAATTGAAAGCAAATACTGCTCGAAATTCATCTTTTTCACCAAAAGGGACATTTTCCATTGCTCTTTTCTGGAACATAGTAAACTTAATTTGTTTTCGTGAAATTGGAATATTGAAAACATAGAAAATAGAGCCGATGAAAACTAATGTCAACTGTACCCAAATTACGAAGTTTCATAACATTTAGTTCTCTAATCATACGATTAGATAATACCTTCGGATTTTTCAACCCGGTTTCCCCCTGTCAGTGGTGCATATAAGAGGGGCTGACATGGAAAAAGCGTCTAGTCGTTCGGATGGGACAATAAACCGAGACCCCGTGTGCTCGACTGTTGGAAATCGAAAAAGAGCAGGCTAATGCCGCTGTCCTGGCAAAATTTCCCTCATGGCACTCTGCATGGCGTTGCCCGTCTTTTAGCCCACACGATGAAGAAGAGCAGGACGCAAAAACTCCATTCATTTCATTTCATTTTCTAATCCTACGATTAGATTGTTTTATGTGGTCAAATGTCTTAAAATTACGATGAAAATAAATCCAAACCTGTGTTGAGTATATTTATGTCTGCTTTAGGTCCTCTGGGGAAGATTTGATCGACTAACATGAAACAAAATTAAGCAAACATTGTTGATAAGCCGCTTTTTATATTGAATTATATTATTAGACAAAGTCTAATCTAAAGTAAGAGAAAGAGTGTGAAAATTATCTGTTTAACATAAGACATAATGTGTCTTTATCAAAGTGAAGACATGTAAGACATGTAACAGTACTGTTTTGAATTCCTCTTTGTAATCCCATATATATGAACAATTATGTCATTGCCATTGATAACCAGTTTTAAGGGAAGATTGAAAGAAAATTGAAAAATAGACATAATCATTTTGAGCAAACAGCAAAATTTATATTTCAACTACAAAGAAAATTTGTGATAGAATACAAAAATACTTTCACGTGAAATTTGACGTTCACGACTGAAACAGTTTCTGTATAGTAGTGGCAATGAGTTTTAAGTCTTTAAAGGGGCAGTATGCAAAATATCTCTTTGATCAAACTGTATTGTTTGAAATATTGGCTTAATGTTAAACTTGTCGATATATCCTTCTCTCTTGGACTCATTTTGAACATTTTGAATAAAATTAAGATTCAGGAGACATTTTATTGCAACATTATCTGCGAAGCAGTCCATATAATAATGAATTGTATATAAGGGGAAGTAATAATATTCCATGTGAATATTCAAGACCATTTTAAAATGCCGAATCGATCCAAACTGTACTTGTATCATACCTAAAGGGATACTACGTCTTAGAATAAACATAAAATTTAAAAATTTTAAACTTGGCCAATAAGAGCATATATTCATCAGTAGATATACCTAGTGTCATAAATAACATAACAGGATACTCATATAATCCGATAAATCTAAAAAACTTAATAAAAATGCAATTAACTATTGAAAAACGCTATTATAATTTAGACACCCATTAATGACTTAAATATTGAACACATAATACTAATTGTTGAGAAAATTAAACATTATTTATTAATTTCTACATACAATATATTGGTATACGTGCACCTTTGTAATCTTAGGCCTACTTTGACTGACCTTAGTAT